AAAAAAAAAACCCCAAAACATCTGACATACTCAGTATGTCTCTGTTTCCAGGGACGCCGGTCACAACTGTCACAGCGACTGACGCCGATGAACAGGGCAACCCCAACTCTCAGCTGCTCTACACCATCGTGAAGCAGACCCCACCTCATAACATGTTCCGCATGCACAACGATGGTAACATCTATGTGGACAAATCCACTCTGGATAGAGAGGTACCAGCTACTCTCAAAGAAATGAAATGTGTGTCATTTGTTCAGTCTGAAAAGCTTGCGAAACATTGTGGTTTTTGTGCTGTCAGACGACAGATCAGTACTTTGTGACAGTGCAAGCTCAGGACCTCAATGGCGACCCTGACGGCCTCACAGGAACCAGTACCTTGACCATCAATGTGCTGGACATCAACGACAACCTTCCAACGCTGGAAAAAGACGAGGTACTTGCCGTTATTTAAGAATGAAGGATGATCTATTTCCGAGTTAAAATCTTGGTGTGGACGAGGCCAGAGAGGCAGGAGGAGGTCTGATTAGGAGTCGACTTTGAGTACTTTATGAGTGAGAACTGGAATGGGGAGCCAATGGATTCTTTTTTTTTTGAAGATGGGGATAATATGTTTCTGGGAGCAGGTGTGAATGAGCAAATATTGAGATCTTGATCTAGTGAAGTTTATTGAGTTTATTTATTGAGGGGATTCTGTGACATAAGTCGAGTCTGCATGTTGATGGATGAGTGTTTCACTTGTGAAGAAGGAGCCTGATGGGTGGAGACAGGTTAGGTGGTTCCGGTAGGGGAAGAAAAAGCTGTTTTTGTGATGTGTTTAGTGTTCTCAAAGATGTTTGTGTCAAGGATTACTCCAAGGTTGTGGATATAAGGGGGAGCGAAGCGGGGTGTCGTTGATAAAGTGGTAGACGTAGAAGAAGCAGAAGGCAGAAATCATGTCATTGGTCATGTGGTGAACTGACTAGCCATGGGTTTTCCTTGAAGTATGAGAGAAGCATAATGGAGAACACTAAGGGTGTGGAGGTGGTGAGGATCAAAGCTCAAGACCTGGATCTGAAGGACACCGAAAACTGGCAAAGTGTGTTTGATATCGTCAAAGGCAACGAGGCCAAGTACTTCAGCATCAAAACGGACACAAAGACCAACGAGGGCATCCTAATGCTTGACAAGGTAAGGGTGAAAAACAAACAGAACCACACCATACTAGCTTCAAAAGTCTCCATTTGAAAAGAATGTGCACGACTTCACAGGCTGTGGATTATGAGGACGTGAAGGACTTTGTACTTGAACTCACCGTGAGGAACAAGGCTCCACTTTATGAAGGACTTCCGCAAAGCACGACACGTAAACCCTATCGTGTCAAAATCCACGTACAAAACCAGCGTGAAGGCCCATATTTTGATCCCAAAGTCAAAGTGATCACCCTGCCGGAGGGAGGCGGCACTCCTGGCAAAGATGTCATTGCTCACTATCCAGCACTAGATGGCGACACCGGGAAACCAGCTGAGAAAGTCAAGTGAGTTCTGCAAGTGGTGGAAGTTGTTGTTTCCATAAAACTATTGATTTATTTTCCAACAATCTAATCTCGTAAATTCTGCTCTTATATTGCATTCTGTATAGAATTGATCGTTTCTATAATTGTGATAGTGGTGGTATTAAGATGTAGATTCGGTTGGTTAAGTTCCCACTGGAGGCTCGGGCACCAAATGCACAGCGCGCCACTGGGTTCTTGTCATGTATGAATCACAGTGATGGTCTGCACTGTGTTGTAGGTATCTTAAAGGTTTGGACCCTGACAATTGGCTCACCATCGACCCAGAAACCGCTGACATCAGATTGAATAAGATGCCCGACAGAGAGTCCACTTTCTTGGTCAACGGAACATATTACGCTCAAGTGATCTGCATTTCTGAAGGTACACAACGACAGTTGTAGCAATCCGTCACCTGAATTAGACGCTGGTGCAGTCCCAGCAGTGGTGGGATATAACAAAGTACAAATACTTATGTTACGGTATTTGAATAGATTTCCAGGTATCTGTACATTATAATAATTAGTTTATTGACATCGTCCATAACTCCTTCACTGCCATTGATGACTTTAGGGGATACTTTTTAAGTGGGAGGTTTGTCAGTAAATGAGTTCTATTCCCAAAAGAACCATTGACTTGATCTGAATCAGTACTTCAACCTTCACCAGAGTCTTTTTGTACACAAGTATCTGAACAGAAGTTCTACTGTCACCACTTCTGGTTCCCACAAACAGACATCCCCTCGAGCACCGCCACTGGCACTGTGGCCATCCAGGTGGAAGACCTTAACGACCACTGTCCCACCCTGACTGGTACCACCCAAACTCTGTGCATTCCCGACGATGCCGTCATTGTCACCGCCGTCGACGAAGACGACTTCCCCAATGGAGCTCCTTTCACCTTTGAAATAATCTCAGAGGCAACTGAGGGAAAATGGCAGGCGGAGCATCTTAATGGTGAGGAGACTGGTCTGTTTTGGATCTCAATTGACTTCAACCTTCAAGATCTTATGGATGAATTTGTGTGGGCAGATACCGCAACCATCCTGAGAGCGCAGCGGTCCTTATGGCCTGGTCTACACAAGGTGGAATTACTGGTCAAGGACCAGCAGGGGCAGGCGTGCTCGGAACCGCAGAAAATGATGGTCCAAGTGTGCACATGCGAGGATGGATTTATCTGTGGAAGACGAGGCGGAAGTGGTCAGCCCGACAAGAAATCTGAGTTCGGACCCGCAGGCATCGGACTGCTACTCCTGGGCCTGCTATTGATACTGCGTAAGTGCGATTAAAGAGGTTTGAGTTATATCACACAAATCCCATTAGGGGGAGCCAATGAATCTCTTTATGACAACACCTTCACCACACACAAACACACACAACTGTTTGATGCTCAAGACTTTTGGTCCCGTCCTGAACTTGTGGTGTTGACTCAGAGTTTCGTTTCACGGCGATTCATCAAACTTAGCGACACTCAGTGACAAAATCTATAATTATCTGTCTGGAACACATGGTTCATATTTGGGAGCATCAAATCTCTGGAAGTTTATATTTGAAGGACTCCTGCTAATACCCCAAAAGAGCCTAAAATGGCTCCTTTAAAACCCGAATGGGAGATATCCTTGGTCTTTTCAAGAACAGCGTCATGAGACGTTTTTGTGGGTCTGATTATGACAGCCAAGCCTATTAAATTTGATGTCGAAAAAAGGAAACTGGCTTTAAGAGAGAAAAAAATCTCGAGGATGATTTGGCATTTCTTGTTCATATGCCAATCAATATAAAGTCAATGACACAGAAGAATATGTTCAGATATGAGATGCAAGCGTATTGTTGTTCCAGTGGTTCCCCTGCTGTTGCTCTTCTGTCAGTGTGGGGGGGCTGCGGGGCTGCCGGGGACTGCGGCGGTCATACCGTTTGAAAGCGAGTCCCACTTGGTCACTTACTCCACTGAAGGCCAAGGGGAGAACGCGGTCAGTCCTGATCACTCCATCAACTCCTGAGGATACATATTGAGTTTTTGACTTCTGACCGTCTGCCGGGTCTTTGGCAGGAGGTGCCGCTAAACCTCATCCCGACACAGCTGTTCGCTGAAGACGTGAGCGATCACATGAAGCAGTCGGTCTTTCAGGACACCTTCCAGGGAAACATGGAACAGTCCTGGGCAAGAAGACAAGCCAACGTGAACACCTTCTACTCCAGTTTTGGGGCTGCAGCGGTAGGACACAAGGCCATGGAAGTGCATGACAGCATCGCTTTACCGGACCACCTGATCGCCCAATACTACCAACAGGTGAGAAATAGCTTTACACCAGCGGTGGACACGAAATCATCACAACTTTCACATTTTTTGTCATGTTTCAACAGAAGGTGTACAGCGAAGGTGGCGGAGGCAGTCTGGCGGAGAAGGATGCTCTTTTGAAGTACAATTTTGAGGGCCAAGGCTCCTCAGCCGGCTCGGTGGGCTGCTGCAGCCTCCTGGAGAACGACAATGACCTGCAGTTCCTCGACAACCTCGACGCCAAGTTCAAGGCCCTGGCGGAAGTGTGCCGCGGCCGCAAGTTCGGAGCAAATGTCATTCCACCACCAACAAAGGTCATGACTGGACCAAGGCCGGAACTCCCGAAGTTACCTCCACTTGTCCCCGTGGTAGACCAGACTGTGACTCAAGTGGCGAATGAAAACATGACTTGGCGGAACCAAGGGATTACTGCAATGAAGGCAGGGATGGAAAACCAAGGCCAGATGTTCTTGTTACAGCAGCAGCAGCCTGTCTATTACCCCCCTG